GCCACACAGTGCTCTCGACAATAATTAGTAAATAATTACTTCTACTCTTAATCAACTAACTTTGAGAGCCAATTAAGGATGAAACAATCCCATAATACTGAATATGGTGCCATTAGGGGCGTTCACACCAAGTACTTTTCCCACAGTAGTTCATGAGAACTTTAGTTCATGAGAGCTCTTTAGTTCTGATGAACTAAAGCAGATCGCGTTCACACCAAAATGAGTTCCTGGGGGTGGATTAGGCAAATGAGCCGCTGACGTCACTTCTTCTTCTTCTGCTTTGGGTTTACTGGCAGGCCGCAAACAACTTCACGGCGAGTACAGTAGGTGGCGGTATGCACCTTAAAGTTGCAATTTGCCAAAAAAACGAGAGAAGAAGAAGAAAAAAAACTTCCGCTTCCGCTGTATGCTTCTGTTTACCTTCCGACCTCAGGCACGGTATGGAGTTGACGTTTTGGTGGTCGTGTTATACAGCTTCGTAACTGAGTTATTTAAGCCAATAACCACAAATACAAATAGACCATTCAAATGCAATAGAAATGCTGAGTCGGAGGCGAAGGCGGTTAAGAAGCCTTAATAAAAGGATTGGACCACGAAAAGCACACGCTATGGACATGTTTCGCCGTAGGAGAGCTGAGCATGATGATCGTTATCACGCCAAAAGAACAGCAATGGTACGTTCATTAAATTACATTAATACTATCTAATGTTGGATTTATGGAGTTATGTAGGGCTAATTTGTGTCTTTGTATGTGTTTCCAGATATGCGAATACTACGGAACGCGTCGTGTCCCGCGCTCTCTCTGGGTGAACAATAGAACATCGCCTTGGTGGGAGGTGGTGCCAACGTGCAGTGGATCAAAGATTTCCGAATGTCCAAGGGCTCTTTTCAACTCTTCTGTATTCGCCTGGAAGCAACGTTGGGGAGAGGCATCTGAACAGCATGGAAATTGTAAATTGACAATAAAGCTGATCTTTTGTAGTGCATTTGGTTCTCTCTTTTATTTACCAGTCAACAGACACAATTACAATAGTGCAGACACACCTTAGTGCAAAGATTAAATGTCAGTATCAAAACAGTACTCATACTGTATATTTGTATATTAATGAGTATATTATTATGTTAAATGTGTGTTAAAGACAATGGGATGAGGTTAAAAACTGTTGTATACCATCTTTACTGTGATAAATACATACATGTTAAGCATACACACCTGAAGAACTACGTTACACACACACAGGGTAGTCTGTGCACTGCTGCTGGTTTAAACAAAGACAGTCATGATGCTAGTGCCGTGCATGTAGGTTCTCTTTTATTTATCAGCAGCAGATCAATAAGTGTCAGTAGTATCAACACAATATAATAACAGTGGCTATATATATATATAATAACAATAGGTAGACTCAGCAGCAGACACACCTTAGTGCAAAGTTAGGTGTCAGTATTAATAACAGTGGCATATATATATATATATAATCACAATAATACAAAATTAACTGTCCCAGGTGTAGGCAATTAGGGGTGAAGTGTCTTGCCCAGGGACACCACGACATCCTGACTGCAGTGGGGTTTGAACCTGTGCACCAGACCACTGCACCACACGCCTCCCAACAAGTCATTGTACAGTTTATCAATGACAAGTTTTTCTTAATTTTTGTATTGAAGGCCTGTTGGATTTAATCAGCTCGCTTAGCACTGCCAGAAGCCCAGCCTGAAAGGTATTTTGTTGCTCCACCTCGATTCCTGGGCCTTGTGTGAATGCAGCAGCCGTTCGTCGTGCATCTCCTTGGCACGCAGGTCCTCATTCTCCTTGCTGACCATGGCACGGCGGTCCATCGCCATGATGGTGTCAAGGAAGCTGTCATCGCGTGCCCACTTTCCTAAGGTGAAATATGCAAGATACAAGATCAGTTTAATCGCAACAACGAGACAACATTGTCCAAATACCGGAAGGGGAGCAGCCCATAACAGAGAGCCCCCCCACGTCAGAGTCATCACTGTGGGCGATCTCCACCTCTGAGTCTGTCTCTGCAGGCACACAACAGCAGGAACACGGGGAACACCTTTGATTTGACTATTAACATTTTAAATGGTGAAGGCACTAGCAATTGGGGGATGGAGGGCTCTCAGGACATGATAGGGAGGCGTGTTGCGCAGTGGATAAGTGCATTGGTGTTCGGATCAGGGGAGCACAGGTTCAAACCCCACTGCAGTCAGCATGTCGTTGTGTCCCTGAGACACTTCACCCCAAAGTGCTCCTGTGGGGATTGCCCACAGTATTGAGTATGTAAGCTTTGGATAAAAGCGTCTAACAAGTGACATGTAATGATTCAAAAAGCTTTTGAATATTGAATAACAAACCAATGTGGTTTACTTGTTATCCACAGTTTAGCTGCTAAATGTTTTTTAGCAATGCTTTTCTTTGTGCTCCACATATCTTAATGTATAAAGTGTGTTTTCACCTCCGTTCCCTCCTGTTTGCTGCAGTATGGCAGCAGCGGTCAGGATGGGATCCTCTGTGATCAGATAGTAGTCCTGATGGTGTCCGCTGACCGGGCACAGGGTGTGGAGCTGCCTACTCTCAGCGGGGGGGAACTGAACGTGGAAACTGTGTTTCTCTGAGGGATCCTCCATGTAGTCTGAGAAGCCTTCTGAGGAAACAAGGTCAAACTATTTAGGATAATACAAGGAACAATGTTTAGGCAGTAAATTGAATTTCAATTACATTTCTACTTAAATGTGCAAAAATATTAGAACATCAGTCTTTGTGGCATGCAGGTAATCAACTGTTTAAGCTTTTACCATTAACATGTAGAATGAATGTTGCAAATTACTTGAAATTATAGCAACTACAATCTATTGTTTACCTCTATGCATTCAGTGTAGCCACAAAGGTAGCATTATGTCCAGCTAGCATGCTAATTGCTAACGTTATATTATCGTTTTATCCCGGAGGGGAAAACTAGTTTCTAATCCTGAGAGAAACACCTCGCCTGAAACACACGATTAGTGCCATGAGTTAGTGAAGCAAATTACAGAACATTGTACACTTATTCACAAGTCAAAACGTGTTCATAGCGGGCACGGCTGAGAATAGCTAGCTAGCTAGATGTTGTTAGCCAGCTTGGACCTAACGTTAGCAAGTTCTAGCATGGCTAGCTCGATCTACTGAGCAAATAAAAGTACATCTAAGACCAGTATTGTGCAGATTAAAACAGTGCAGTGCATGTATTTTATTTTACCTTTGTAGTCGTCACGACATTACTTTGCCAGGTCTGCTAACTTTGCTGATCCACTGAAACTGCATTCAGTAGAAGCTTCTGAATGCCGCACTTCGCGTCCTCCGAGTAAATCGCCAGAAGCGCCGAGACATCCTCATCAATTCCACCGCTTCGATGATTTATTTAGTGTTGCTATAATAACTGCTTTCACAAAAGTAATGTCTTCGGGTAAACGAGCAAATACAATGGCCGCTTCCAAAAAAAAATTCTGAGTCAAACGGGCGTGGTTTGCATTCCGCACAGCCAATCAGACGTACGAACTATTTTCTCCCACAACAGTCCCTGCTCTCTAGCAGGGACTGAAAAGCGGGTCGGACGAACTCATTTGAGCTACTTTAGTTCCTGGGGCTTTTTGGTGTGAACGCAAATATATCGTAGTTCTGATGAACTATTGTGGGAAAAGTACACCAAAGTACTCCGGTGTGAACGCACCTATTATCACCCTTGAATGGGGGGGGTTGTAAGCCTTTTTTTTTACAGTAAATATGAGCAATAACAATTACTATAGTGCTGCTCAGAATGAAAATATGCTTTGTGCTTTGTTAGGGCTCCATTGAATGGTTGAAGCTTCTTTCATTATGTTGACATTTGATTCTACATGCCAACATTTCAATGCTTTGCTCTGTCTGTTTTTCCTATTATTATTGTATTATTTGTAAAGTTAGAATCCGGTGGTGGCTGCTTGGGATTTTTTTCTTTTTTCCATGAGCACTGTAAAGTCTAAATGTCAGAAAGTATTGAAAAAAAGGAGATTTCCAAAATTCACAACACCTAACAAAAAAACGGTTTACTTCTCTCTCCATATTTATTGGCGTTAAGCTTTTCAAAAACAACTTTTTCACTGCGGTCAAAAAGCTAGCAGCACTTTAAAAGCACCATTATTTATATTTATATAACAAGATGTTGTATTTTTGTAGATGACGCAGATGAGTTATATTCATTAAAGGAAGTTTATCTTTTAAAAAAAGACTTTGACAGGATCTGCCGTTGGGTTTGCGGTTTCAAATTACTTTTACAAAACCGCTGTAACAACATGGTATATTTAACAACCTTCACCTCTGTCAGAGGCGATTTTAAACATAACACTACTTTACAAATTATACAATTCAGGTGTGGCTGGCTTTTACCATAGTTTTTTTAAATCATGTAGGTAGCCAGAGTTTTGTTTGTCCGTTCTAGGCTACTGTAACATCGCAGACACCGTGGAAGAGAACCATGTATACGAATAATTAATTATTTCCTAATGACCATTCTTGGTTTCAAGTGATTACACACCAATGAGAAGTTGGAAGATTTTGTTGGGGGATTTATATGTTTTTTTAGGGCAATTTTATCACAAAATATGAATACAGGACACTTTTGAAAGTTCATTTGGAAAGCCCCATAAAAAGCTTCAGAAGCAAGACATTTCACTCAATACGCTGATGATTTTATCCGCATGTAAGGCTTGTGACTTCAACAGAATCATGACACTAATAAAGCTTCTTATTTTTGCTTTTTCCATCAATACAGAGTAGGTGGACTATCCTTGGACTTGTTTTTTTATTTTCTAACAACTCACACATCCCCTTCAGTCAAAGCTGAGCTAAAATAAATGGCATTTATCCGGCTAGAACTCCTTGTTTGTTGCCACCTAAGCAAATGTCTCACTAGTTTGGATTGCAGCTCATTGTGCTTTTAGTCATTGACAGTGATTACTATATTTGTTCTCCTGGCAGGCGTCTTCACTGCACCAGAAACTACATCCACATGCACCTGTTTGTTTCCTTCATGCTACGGGCAGTCAGCATCTTTGTGATGGACAAAGTGGTCTATCCCAGTACTGGACTGCAGGACTTTGATTCTGCCCTGTTGGACAACTTTAAGACAGTTAGCCTGCCTCCATTGGACACCTCTCAGTATGTGAGTACCAGTTCTACTTGTTTGATTGTTTTTGTTCTTACTGCCTGTTCCAACAACTATACATTTGGCTGTTAGACCTGAAGTTGAAGTGCTTTGAGCGCACAGTCTGAAAATACGTTCTTTAGACTGATTGACTGTGGCTTTAAGCTGAATAGTGTGCGAGCTTTGATTTTGTATTTCACATGGATTGCAATATGCTGGCTATAATGACTTTTGCTTCTTTGTCCTCTCAAACTTTGATTGGATGCATGCAACAGAAAGCATGTCTCAGTGGTGCTCAAGTTATTTCTTACAGATGTTTCTCTTGCACATAAGGAACAAATTGTTGTGCACTATTGGGCAAGACCACTTTCAAAATGTAGACTTCATCTACCACGGTCCTTCTCTAAAAAGCCTTATGGTTTACAGCCACTTCTTTCTTCAAATCTCCATTTGAGACATTTTACATTTTCCTATTCATCTTTTGGAATGTTTCCCATCAAGTCCATCAAGTGGTGTTGACTATAGGACAGGGCTGTGGCAGCTATCATCACCAGACATTTATTTCCAGTGAATATCAGTATTTGGGGCGACACCTGTTTGGCCCATATCTTTTCAAAATGCATTTCCCCTTCTGTCCATCCATCAACATGAACACTGTGTCAGCCCTTAATTTGTAGCGGATAATGACATGATAATCGTTTTTTTTTTACTGTTTTGAATATCAACAAAAAGAAGTTGGCAGAATTTGATTTGGAGAAAAATTCAGTTAGGCAAGAACATCTAATCTCTGACAGGAGAAACCCAAAGGTTTTTAGAGCTGAAGGTTTCTATAGGAACACTTCAAAGAGAGCACATTTTCTGGATCAGTTGGAGATAAAGTTCCAAGGAGCCATCAATATAGGTCTTGACAAGCATAGGTCCTATATTTTATGTGTTAAACAGCTTTAACGTCTTGATTTGAGTTCTTCCTCAGCCTCCTTTAACTTTTCTGTCGTTGTTGCCTCTCTTTATATATTCCATCTCACTAACCACAGTCAAAGAAATGCTTATTACAATGTACCTATATAGGATGCACAGAGCACATTTTATATTTTCTTTGATTTTTTCCATCGAGCCAACACATATGGCGCGTTTCCACTACAGCGCGGAGCACGGTTTAAGAGGGCTGTGACGTCAGCGGCCCGTTTTTGGTTGCGTTTCCACTTGGCCTAGTACCGGCCGGCGGGTCCTAATTCACAGTTTTTCTGGCCTCATAAAATCGTGGGTCTAGGGCCAGAGACAACGAGGCTGAGTCGGGCTGAGTCGGGCTGAGTATGCTAAACTAGAGAGAGAATCGCTGGCAAGGGGGCTACAACTACAACAAGATGGACATATTTGACCGTGATTTAATTGTAATACACGTTTCAAAATGATGCCGAAGTAACAACATACTGATACCGGTTAGTAAAAACCATGAATTAATGCTTTGACAAGTCTGCAGACAGACGGCAGGCGAAAAACCTTTTAAAATGCGTGTTTTCTAAATGGAGATTGGCTAAGCTAACGCAGTATATGCTCCGACCGTCCACACTCACAACAACGGCCTATACAGACATAAATAAAGCAGCGACTGTATTCGCCATGACACAGGCAGTCTGTGGTTTGTACTTGTTTAACTTTTGTCTAGTTTCTGAACATATATGAGGAGCTGTGAGCTCTGAGTGCTAACAGCTAACGGCTGTGTTGTTTTTCTGGGGTTCTCCGCCTACACTGCGTTACTATAGGTTCAAGGTTCAAGGTTCAAGGTTCTTTATTGTCAATCTGACATAGCTACAGAGTAATTATGCAGTTGAAAATCTTATGTCACAGGCTTCTCCAACAATGCAACATAATAACATAACATAATAACAATAAGAGCAAGAGCAATACAAAAATAATAATAGTTATAAAAATGAAATAAAGTTATGATGTGGAATAGTGCAGTATGAGTCTATATACAAGTTATTGGAATGATATATATATATTAGGTATTAGATACATACTACTGAGTAGCAGTTGAATGTTTGAAGTTGTTTCAACAGTTCAATTTTTTAACAGTCTCACTGCCCGCGGGAAGAAACTGTCTCCGAATCTTCTTGTCCTTGCCAGGATGCTGCGGTAACGTCTGCCAGACGGCAACAGAAAGAACAGTTTGTGGCTGGGGTGATGGGGGTCTTTGATAATCCGTAGTGATTTCTTCCTGAGCCGCTGGGAGTAAAGGTCCTCCATGGATGGCAGCTCCGTCCTGGTGATGTGCTGTGCAGTTTTCACCACCCTCTGTAAAGCCTTACGATCGAGGTCGGTGCAGCTGCCGTACCAGGCCGTCATGCTGCCAGTGAGGATACTCTCTATCGTGCACCTGTAGAAGTTGCAGAGTATCCTGGAATCCATTTTGAACCTCCTCAACCTGCGGAGGAAGAAGAGCCGCTGTCGAGCTTTCTTAGTGATGGTGGTGGTGTGAAGAGACCATGTCAGGTCCTCAGTGATGTGGACCCCAAGGAACCTGAAGCTTTTGACTCTCTCCACCGTAGTCCCATTGATGGCGATGGGGGCGTGTCCCTCTCCCTGCTGCTTCCTGTAGTCCACAATCAGCTCCTTTGTTTTGCTGATGTTGAGATGGAGGTTGTTCTCCTGGCACCAAGATGTCAGGTTTTCGACCTCCTCTCTGTACGCCGTCTCGTCATCGTCTGTGATCTGGCCGATGACGGTCGTGTCATCAGCAAACTTCACGATGGTGTTGGAGCTGTGTGTGGCCACGCAGTCGTGGGTGAACAGGGAGTAGAGGAGAGGGCTGAGCACGCAGCCTTGAGGGGCACCGGTGTTGAGAATCAGGGTGGAGGATGTGATATTTCCCACCCGCACTGCCTGGGGTCTGCCCGTCAGGAAGTTCAGGATCCAGTCGCAGAGGGCGCTGTTGAGTCCGAGGTCTCTGAGCTTGATGGCCAGCTTGGAGGGCACAATGGTGTTGAATGCTGAACTGTAGTCAATGAACAGCATTCTCACATATGTGTTCCTCTTCTTCAGGTCCAGGTGTGAGAGGGCAGTGTGGAGGGTGAGGGCTATGGCGTCGTCTGTGGACCTGTTTGCTCTGTAGGCAAACTGCAGGGGGTCCAGAGATTCAGGGAGGGAGGAGGTGATGAATAATTTGACTAACCGCTCAAAGCACTTCATTATGATGGAGGTGAGTGCTACTGGGCGGTAGTCGTTGGGGCAGGTGATGATTGTCTTTTTGGGGACAGGAATGATGGTGGAGTGTTTAAGACATGTGGGGACTACAGACTGCAGCAGGGACCTGTTGAAGATGTCTGTGAACACCTCTGCCAGCTGAACTGCACACACCCTGAGAACACGGCCAGGGATGCCATCAGGTCCAGGAGCCTTGTGTGGGTTAACCCTTTTAAAGGATTTACACACATCTGCCCTATTTAAAACAAAAGGGCAGTGTAGCTCCTGGTCCCTCTGTACCTCCACAGCCTGGCTGCTCTCAAAGCGTGCAAAAAAACTGTTTAGCTCATCTGGGAGAGATGCGCACGCAGACACTCCCGCAGCACCCCCCGCTGCTCCTTTGTAGTCAGTCATTGTCCTTAGTCCCGCCCACATATTCCTAGTGTTACAGCCTTTGAAGTCAGATTCCACCTTCTCTTTGTACTGTCTCTTTGCATTTTTTATTGCTCTCCGGAGATCATACCTAGACTTCCTGTACTCCTCCAAATCTCCCGCTGTGTGCGCGAGAGTGCGCGCTTTCAGTTTGCCGCGCACCTCACCGTTTACCCAGGGCTTTTGATTTGGGAATGTCCGTACAGAAACCTTCGGTACCACGTCATCGATGCATTTCCCAATGTAGCAGATGACAGTGTCCGTGTGTGTGTTGATGTTATTGTCCTCAAACACACTCCAATCCGTGGATGCAAAGCAATCCTGCAGTGCTGAATCTGACTCCTCGCTCCATCGTTGTACTGTCCTTGTTATCGGTCTGTCCCTTTTAAGTTTCTGCTTGTAAGCAGGCAACAACAGTAGTGAGATATGGTCTGATTTGCCGAAGGGAGGGCGAGGGAGAGCCTTATATCCATTCCGGAAAGGGGAATAAACATGGTCCAGTATGTTTCCCCCGCGCGTCGGGAAGTTGATGTGTTGGTAATATTTTGGCAAAACCTTCTTCATGTTGGCGGTGTTGAAATCTCCGGCCACAACGAACGCCGCATCTGGCCGTGAAGTCTCGGTTTTATCAATAAACCCAAACAGCTGATCGAGTGCCGTGTTGTTGTCGGCGAGTGGCTGCGGCGGGATATACACTGCTGTTATCACAACAGATGTGAATTCCCTCGGCAGATGGAAGGCCCGACATGAGATCATGAGGTGCTCTAGCTGTGCGGAACAGTCCGATGAAATAATTTTCACATCTGAGCACCAGTTGTTGTTAGTCATTACACACACACCGCCTCCCTTACTTTTCCCCGAGTTTGCAGTCCGGTCCTGACGAAAAATAGAGAATCCGTCAGGGACAATAGCGGAGTCCGGGATAGCGGGGTTGAGCCAAGTCTCAGTGAGAATTAACACGTTACAGTTCTTAATGTCCCGTTGAAAAGCAATCCGGCTTCTGAGTTCATCTAGCTTATTTTCAATGGATTGAACATTAGCCAGAAGAATACTCGGAAGAGGGGGCCGATTCTCACGTTTTCTCAGTTTGACCAGCAGCCCGGCCCGGCATCCGCGCTTTGTCCTCTTCTTGCGTCTCTCAGGTAGAACAGCAACAGGTAGCCATGGTGAATCTCCATTGTCTGTCGGAGGGTTAATATTGTCCACGAAGTTTCGCAATTGGAAAAGTTCCTCTCTGCTATATTGTATGGCAGAGTAGGTGCGGTCGGCTAGCATGTTGCGAACCATGTTAAAAGTAAAACGGCAAAAGTAAAAGAAATATGTACAAAATACGAAAATGGGCAAAGTTGGAGAGGAGCACGAAGACGATGCGGCCATCTTCACCGGCGCATCAGCCACACATATAGCCACACTATAGATACTACCCCAGTTCCTAAACTGTAATGGAAATGCGCCATAAAGTGAGCCAGTCCTAACGAGGCCTAGCCATACCGAGCGAGGCCGAGCGAGGCCGTGTAGTGGAAATGCGCCATTAGTGTACCATGTTAATGCTAGATACATGGAGGTTAAGAGTTGTTCAAGTGATATTTCTATGCTGTACAAGTGATTAGAATGTTGAGTGATGTATTAGACACTAGGTAAGTGCAAAATAGATAAGCCCTCAGTTTCTTACATTCTATACACAAGTTGTTGTGTTCTTTGTAATATTAAGTGAAATTATTGCTATGTTTTAAGAGTGAAAAACCTTGCTTTTGGCACTAACCCTAACCTTAGCAAATATGAGCTATAAATGTGTATCATTGACGGAGATCTACATGGACACTAGAAGAGGTTACTTTTTGAAATGTAATTTTGTAAAAATAATGAATCAAGAGTAGATTATGTTTTCATGTGTGTCGATTTAGCAGCCATAATGTTAAATGAGAGGAGATGATTAACAGAATAATAAGTATTTGAGCAATGCTATGCCTGAGAGCCTTACTGCATTGTATTTCATTATAATTATTACTTTGGATTATCATGTTAATTTTTATGTTTGCAGTTACATAAATAATGACATTTGTTTAGAAACAAACAGTCTTGCAATCACCGCTAAATGCACTTTAACACAGGGGTATCTCACTTTTATCTTTTCGGGCACTTTATATGTCGTAGCTGCTATATTGTACTGCCATGTGGTAAATACTTGTGTATGCTGCTTTTGCTCTTTTGCACTTTTTGCATTTCATGTATTTTGTTTTTGCTATGTTTGTAAAATGTAATTTTCTTTAATGTTTTATGTGGAGGGACTGCGGATGGAAATTAGCTCAAAGCTAAATCTGGCACTGTTACGCTTGACACATTTGAATGTTTTAAGTGTTCATTACTGTGCATTGTCCCTGCCAAATAAACGATTAAATAAATAAATTTGCATCATAAATTGGTGCATAAAATGTTGTTGTCAAAACACCTAAGCCCTTGGAAATAACTAAGTATATAGATTCATTGCTGATCATCGATCACATTTTTATGAAACTTTCAAGGACAAACATGAATATTACCTTTGATTCACTGTGGCAGAAGTGTTTGAACCCCCCCCCATAAAATAAAAATGGAGGTTTGCATAATAGACCGAAAGCTCGAGGCTGTTTCTACCTGCATTTCATGCATGTCTGCATGTCTATCCAGTTGCTTAGAAAACTGAGAGTAAATTGGATAACAACTAGTAAAAACTTAAAAAGCAAGTGAAAGAGTTAACAGGAGACTTTGTTTGTTGAACCTATGTGATTAAAAGTGACATTTGAATCCGTCTTTGTTTTTGCCGTAAGCATCCTCCCGAGCACTGTGAGATCAAATGAATTTTCTTAGCTTTTAAAAATAAAGATTTGGCACAAAAATGAACAACTAGTTGCCCTTGGGTTTTTTCTTATGTAAGCATATATAGGGTTGCCAAATTATAGCCACATTGATTTTGCTGATCTATTTGTTCATTTTTAGGTTTCAGTTCTATTTTGTGCCCCTTCATTGACATGTTTACATGCTTTAATGTTCAAAAAGCTCTTTATTTTTCTCATACTGCCTGTGCTGCAGCACCTCTTTTCACCCTCTGTCTGAAACCAGAGCCCAGTCTGCTCTGATTGGTTAGCTGGCTGGCTCTGTTTTGATTGGTAAACCGCTTAGAGATGTTCCGCCGCTTAGCCTATCACATACAATGTGTTTGAGCACTAGCCAATAGAAGCCTGAGTGGTACGTAGTGATGTCACTATGTAGTAGAATTAAACAAGGTAGTCCAATGGAGGCGTTTCAGGAAGGGGGGGGGGGGAGTGTTTTGGAGAGAAACTCCCTCTGGAGGGAACTTTGGGATTTTAGCCTTTGCAGACCATTTACATGCACTAAAATATAGTATTTAACACAATATAGGAAAGGGAAAACCCCCAAAGTGTCTCTGGTTTTCTCAAATTTCAACCAAATGATGATCCACTTGCACACATACAGTAAAGATATAACAGTTTCCTGCGTATCTACCAACTTGGACTCTGATATTTGCAGAAGAATAGTATAAAGGAAACCTTTGCTGCTATTTAGCAAAAATACCTTCATTATTCAAACTCATAGAATGCAACATTTTCTTCCGACAAAACACCTCCGAGACATAATTCCGGCAGTAAATTCTCAACATACTCTAAGAATAGCATTCCAATTCAGATTCATGGTGAACGAAAGTTCCCTTTTGAGAGAGAACTCCAGCGATCTCTAATTGGCATCAAAGTTCAGGATCGCTTGTTTGATTCAGGTGGATATGAGTCATACATAATTACCAATAAGTTTGCAAATCTGAATGTGACAGCAATTATTTTGATTTGCACCCAACCATGTAGTTTAATCCTTGCCCTTGAAAATCTGTAAAAAAATGGCACTGAAAAAGTTAAAGCTTTTAAAGGAGTGTGGGAATAACTCAATGTGTTATACAATATATATTTAAAATGATGTGATAAAATAAAACTATACAGTAGATCATGAAATGTAGGATTTGTGTGAATTCCTCATATTGTAAAGGATAGTTCGAATAACAGCCGCTATTTAAGAGGATATGCAAATAAAATGATCTCTATATATCATGATTTTAAATGACATGAATATAGTGATAAAAACCAATGTTGTTTGTTTGTTAATGGTGTAGTGAATGTCAACACTTAACTTGAACTTTGTATTTTCTGTGTCACAACTGTGTACTTTTCCTAATTGATGTGCAAATGTATACAGCAAGGTGCTACAAAATATAATCAGATCATCTCTCCTACAGCGCCTGTGGATTAGGGATATGTTTCAGAAGTCAACACACAGGCACACTAATGGTCATGTATAAATAGGATTCAATAACTGTGTTAATGTTTTGTTAACAGATTGGCTGCAAGTTCGCTGTAGTGCTCTTCATCTATTTCCTGGCCACCAACTACTACTGGATGCTGGTAGAAGGCCTCTACCTCCACAGTCTCATCTTCATGGCCTTCCGATCAGACTCCAAATACCTCTGGGGCTTCATCCTCATCGGATGGGGTAAGAATGAGAAATTACCATTTCACACATAACACCTATGATATGGTGCAGCACAACTTAGGGCCTGTGTCCACAAAGTGCCTAGGGCAGAGCGTTTTTATTTAGGTTCTGAGGGCTTTTTTAATTGTTTATATGAAAAGATATATTGACAGCGTATCAGCGCTGTTATATGAAAGGGTAGCTTCACCTCCTTGGATTTTAATCTGTTTGTGCTACTTTATAATTGCTTGACATAGTTTTTCAACATGAACACCCACGGGGAGATTTGTGCACTCACATTTTGTTTGTATGAGCTGAAAAAAGATGCTGGTGCTCAGAAAAAGGTGCTATGTGGACACAGGCTCTTAAACGTCCGTTCTAAACAATCCCCAGAACACATTGTAGCCTAGACGCAAAAATTAAGTTTATACAGTACCAAGCCAAAAAGCCAATTGGGCAATGCTCTAAATCTGAATTATTTGAATGACCAGCAGTGTCTATTTTCTGGTTGCAAAAAAAGACTAATTGTATGGAAGTCTATGAAATAAACAACCCCAGTTCTCACTTGATGTATTACCTCTTTCAACATTTTTCTGATGCGTTTAAAGGTGGGGTAGGTAATTTTGGAGAAACCAACTCAAGATCGCTAGAATTTGAAAATACACAGCCGGAAAAAATCGGCCACTTCCTTACAGAGCCCCTCCTCCAACACACACGAACGCGCACATGACCAATGAGGGCACGAGATAAGTTTGTGCACAGATGGAAGGCTGACAGGCAGGTAGGCCATCCAGTTATTTTAGCCGGGCCGGCTAAAATGATTGGTCGTGCTTTTTACAGTATTACGGCTTCCACAGATGATATTTTGTAATGAATTTTTTGTCAAAGCACTTAAGATATTCATTGCTATCGGGATGTTAAGAGCATTCCATGGAATATAACAAAAAGTGTATCTCGAGCCGGTTTCTCAAACGTACCTACCCCACCTTTAAGGTCTCAAATGCTAGTTTAAATTCTTCACAGTTCATTTTCAAAATAATGGACCTGTTTTAAAATAAAGTATTTCATTCTTTAGTTTAATTCTCAATTGTTGGTACATTTGGAAACTCTACAGTTGACCAGAGGGACGCGGGTTAACCTCTTACTGACCTCAAAAGACTGAAAAACAATAATACGGAGTATGATAGGGCACAAGCTAACAGATCATAATGTAAATGTGTTGTTTAGATAATTAAATGTGTGCGGTAATACGCAGTATTCTACATGTCCTTGGGATTTTGGTAAAGGATTGGAGAATTTGTGTCAAAAACACACTACATTATGTTAAATCTGTGAGTTCTATATCCTAGTCAACAGACCTGTTCTTTCCTTAATAAACACTTGCACAATTTTTTGTTTAGTTTGATTAACTATTGGAAAGACTTTGTCTCATTTTTCCTTGTGCATGTGCAGGACAAAACGTTCCGTTCCGTATCTAAGGGCTGTGTATTCCACTCGTGTCCGTGTTTACCGGACTGTGACCGCCATAATGTTACAGACCAGCACTAACAAACAATCTCTTAAAGCCTTAGAGTTATAGGATAGAATCAAAATCGGCTCTGTCAATGTATACATCCAGCTCTTCATTTTCCCCAGGAGACATACAGTAGGCACCAAATTCATTCTGCAGCACACATTCTCTCTGTAACATGACAAATTATTAAAGGCCAAAGGCCTTGCTGATGCATGGCAGTGCTCAGTGATCACGATGAGATTGTGGATAGATCCGTGCACTTTGCTCCGCTCTCACACATCAGACTCTTAGCCTCTGTTACCTTTTTTTTTTTTTAAGTTTTAGCTACAGATAAGATGCATTTCAAATGTGACTCTCTGCTTCAACATATATTGAAAGACGGGGGAGGACTTATCATGTAGTTGAAGTTCAACTGATACATTATGGTGACTGTGAAGAAGCTGCCATATTTCCATTGGATGCTTTAGGAGATGAAAGAGTGAGAACAATATGCATTTCAGGCGTCGATCTCGCACAACCACAATCCTCATCATATACAATCACTTCAGGGAAGATGTATTCATGAGGCTACATAAGTAATTTCTCCATCACAATCCCTGGTAGTAGATATTAATTCTTACATCTAGATAAGCAAGATTTACAATTCAACGAGCTACCATAAATCCGCTAAATCTGCTGTTGATTTAGAGTGTTGGTTTGTCTTGCTACAGTAGCCATATCATTTTTCCATTGTTAATGTATACTGTTGGTGATTTTTATAAAAAATTAAACAAAATTATAATATATCTCACAGTGGGTCACACACTTTTCTAACAGATACAGCATTTCATCACAGTGCCATTTTCCTTCCACAAAATAGTTTTGATCTTTAAAATCTGTATAACAATGTGTATTCTTATCTCTAAAATTGCCTTACGGCCCTATCTGCTCTTGATTCTTGAAATGCATATTAGGCTGTTTCCGTGCATGATATAAAAACCATAAACATAGTCTACACACGTTCAGAATTTATCAGGAAAACAGGTTTGATAATTTACTACATTGACACATCAATCTTTGCTGTTTATTTTTAAAGAATTTTATAAATGAAAAAAAGATAATAACTCTCCAGTGAAAGCGAAATCAATAACAACCCACACAATTCAGAACAATGATTAGTCTTATTGTTAAGTTTAGTGTTAACTTTATGAGGACTTCTCAAAGTTTGGATGTCTTTGTCCAAAGTCTAACAGCTTTCTTCTAGAGTTAATTGCAATGCATAGTGTCCGTGCCATTCCGTGCCATTTTACTTAATAAGAACACATCAGAAATGCCGCAATGTGTCAAGATACAGTACATAAGCTGCATTTTGCTGTTATGGAGAAGTACTTGTGTGAGTATACCATGTCCAGGGCAAAGCTACATTTTTTCCCATCACAATCGACCATTAGCAAATATGACTTGAAGGATATGTTTTTAGCATAAAAGCAATGATAAACACAAATAGTTTGTTGGAGACTTTAAACTGATGTATTACAATATTATATACAATATTAGCAAGACATCGTATCATTACTGTCTTTTCCTTGCATACCATAAAAAAAGTCAGTGCCGATCTTAATTTTTATCATTTTGGGGAGTGTGTGGGAGAACTTTGGGGTTTAAGCCTTTGTAGGCATGCACTAAAACCGATATAACACACTGCAGGAAAGGGAAAACCCCAAAAAGCATAATAGGGCCTCTCTAAAAAAATGTATACAACTATGCTAACCTTTACTCTTCTTCCTCAATATCATGCATGATAATGACAGGACATTTGTAATGTGTCCTCGACAACGATTCAGGTAAAAAAAGTATGTGACATCCTCCAGTCAGCACAGCTCATTGTCTGTTGTTTGTTCATTCATTTCAGGTGTTCCAGCTGTTTTTGTGGCAATGTGGGCGATTGTCAGGACAACGCTAGCAGATGTAAGGTGAGAGAGCAAATTACTTACTTACTTACTTACTTAATATGTTTGAATACAGGTCTTCTTTCTACACCAAAAATACCAAGGTTGAAAAAAGGTCAACAAGTGGTATGGATAAGCTTGAATATAAACAAAACAAGAGCCACTAAAACAACTTTGGGAATTATCTTATAATTGTGCTGACATTCAAATCAACAGTGAAATATATTAAAATATTCAGGATTTAATTTGCAAAATAAACTCTTTTGTTGGATGGAAACTTCCCTCTCCTGGGAAGGCTTTCCAAATGATTTTGGAACCTGGCAGCTGAGATTTGCTCGCATTGCCATGTTTGCTCAGCTCATAGTCAACTTTCTCAAAGAGGTTTCATGCGGGGGGAATCAGGGTCCTGAAGCAAGCTTTTCCACACCAAAACTTTTAGAGAAAATCTTTATGGAAATTGCTCTGTGGGTATTGTGTAATGTAGAAAATGGTAAGGACAATTCCCAAAACTGATCCACATCCTCTTAGATTTCATTGCAATCACTTTGATTGGCCTAAACCAGGGGTATTCAACTACAATTCAACAAGGTCCGGTCAGAGGAAAGGTCCGGAACATCATAATGTCTAACTTGCGTTTTGAATTAATGTGATATATATTGAAGTAGCCAAGAAGCTGTATCAACGTCTGCATGTAATCAACAAGTGACTGAAAAATCATATTAAAAAGTACAATTAAAAAACTTTTGGAGAATATTTATTGTGACTTAACATTGAACTTTACAAATATATAATGCTGTATATATGTTTGATGTTTTTCTTAGGCTGCATTTAAAATAGAAAAAATAAATAAAAAGCTTTTGAAAAATTGTGCATCTCAAAATAAAGTGCTTGATTTTAGAAAAATAAAATAAAAAAGGTGTAGCAGCAGCAACTTGAGTTTCCTTTTTCTTTGTTTCATATCTTGACTTCACAGTCTCAACCAACTTTAGAATAAATCAGTCTCAACACTTCCCTCTTAAGCCCCACGGACCCGCCGAAGGGGCCAAAATCACAACATCTGCAAGCAAAAGTGTCTAAGGGCTTCTTAAGATTTAATAAACTATGAATGTTTCATATCTATGTAACGGGAAGAAACTCAGCTAACTGATCTTTTTTTTTTTAAAACCTCAAAGCTAACGCTGAGCCTCTGAATTAGCCACGGGCAAAAAAATATTAAGGCTGTTAGCACAGAACTCTAGCTATACCGATCAATATACTTATTGGATCTGCACAAACAAGCTTAGGTAACATCCTGAGATTCCACAGATTATAGAAATATAAGGATCCTCACTGAGCGATCTGAACTTGTGACAGGGGAAGCAAATACAGACAACACACGAGTAGCTTTAGATAGCAAAACACGGAGATATGCTCACCTTAGCTGTTATTCTGATCAAAAGTCGTGTTCATTGGCATTAAAACGAGAAAAAACGCGGCTGAAGGTTAATCCAGAGGTTATAGCAATGTGTCTGTCACTTTGAAAAAATTATTGATAGTCCATAATTCTATTTTTATGCAAAAATCAGAGAAGAAAAATTAGCTGCTAATGGTAGCCACCAGAGGCTAGCGCAGCTTCCGGTTTTTCTACGCGTCACTATCACTCCTTATTTGGTAACCTGTGTGTGTATGGGGAACTTGTGGTGCAAAGTTTTCACCAGGCTCCTCCCGTAGATCTGCAGGTCCGGGGCGATCCGAGGGCGCCAGAGTGGGCCAATGTCATTATTGCCGAGAAGAGGGTCATTGGAAGGAGCAGTGTCCGTTGCTGGAACCTGAGGGGAAGCCTCGTTTTTCAACACATGCTCCAGCCATGTGTTGTTCTGCCGTTTTGGTTAAAAAGCCGCAGGGTGTAGGATCGGGCATGGTGCCTGATGAGAAGCTGGTTTGTGCCGACTTGGATGTGGGTTCTGTTTTTGAGCCGTTCATAACGGAAGCCGTTGTATCAGTAGTTGGTAGTGACAAGTATTTTCGGATTAAGGTGTTGCGTGACACAGCAGCTAGATACTCATTTATTGTTAAGTCAGTGTTGCCTTTTTCGTCAGAGACAGAGACTGGGGATTTTGTGTTGATGAGGGGCATGGAGATGGGCTTGATTCCTGTGCGACGTCATACAATATTGCTGGATTGTGAGCTGGTACGGGGAGTTGTGTCTATCGGCGTGCGTTCCGCGTTGCCACTTGATGGGGTACAGATGCTTTTGGGCAACGATCTTGCTGGTACTGCTGTGTGGGCTGGTGTGCCACCGTCTGTAGTGGTTTCCAGACCGTTGGCATCTGTGGAGCCAGATGAGAGCGGTTTGCAATTTCCAAGTGTGTTTCCAATTTATGCTGTTACGTGTGCGCAGAGCCGTAGGATGTCTACTGACCTGCCTGTTTCGGAGTGTAGAAAAAGTGGTCCAACACGGTCCTTTGACTTTGAGATCGAGACAAAGAAGAAGAAGAGGAGGCCGAAGAAGAGGAGGCCGAAGAAGAGGAGGCCGAAGGAGGTCGGCGCGCCCAAGAGGCCGATGAGCGCCTACATGCTGTGGCTCAATGCCAGCCAACCCAAGGAGGAGTGGGACATAAAAGCAGTGGAGGCGAAGAAGCAGTACGAAATCGCAAGGCAAGAGTTCAAAGACAGCGGCGGAGGAGGAGCGTCCTCCAGTCCTAAGAAGGAAAGTAAAAAAGCTGGAGTTAAGAAGAAGGATGTTGGGTTGTCGTGGACCCCTTTGGGGCCCCGTCTTAAGGGGGGGGCTGTGATGCCCCTGTGGGTTCATCAGTAGAGAGGGTGTGGCTGTTCTGTCTGTGCTGCATTGGCTGCAGTGATTGCATTGATTGCAGTAACTCAGGGCAGCTATTTAAAGCCTCTCTGCTCCTCTCTGTTCTCGCTCTGTTTTCTCCTGCAGGCACCCGGCTCTGAGGAGTATACACATTACTTGATTTGAATGGTTTGTGCAAATAAACATATTTTTCTACCCGTTAACATGTTGTGTCTCCACTTTGTTGTGGTCTTTTGAGCCAGGTCGCAGAAAAACCAAGATAAATAAACATATACAACAAACAAGTACATTTAAAAAAAAAGAAAGGACATTTGATTTTGAAGCGCGTATGATTGTGTGTATGGAAAAGCAAAAAAGCAGTTACAAAATAGCAGATGAATTGTCTTTAATGTGTTTTTTTTAGCCTTTCATAGAAGAACAGTCAAAGTTGACATTGTTTCACTCTTCCAATTTTCTGTTTGACGCACTGCAACTGTACTTTCCTATAATTTCCTCACAAGACATTGGGAATGTATTTCTAGAGACCATGGTTGCTCAACATGCAAAGTACACACTCTTGGATTCTGCTCAATACATATTTGCACAACTGTATAATCGTATTTGCATAATCCCCTGGAAGAGACGCAATGTGGGAAGCTATATGTTTGTGTGATGATGCGCGTTCGCATATGGAGAGAATGCCAGGGTAAAAAACATTATAGCAAAGCACATTTGATATAATGCATATAATAATTTAAAATAAAGAAAGGATAAAACAAGAAAAAGGTATAGCATTTTTACTCTACTACAGAGGCAACAGCAATTAAAAGAAGCCATAATGCATAGTACATACAGTAGTACATATAAGGCTCACTTAAAAGGTTCAATTATAAATGGAAAGGGAAAGAAAATGAACATGAATGGAAAACAAAGGAAAATAAGATGAAAAGGGAGAACGAAAACATTTCCAGGAACCTCGACAATTAGCTGCAAAACATACAATGTTACCGTTATTTATGTTTTTCTGATGCCTTTTGCATTTTCCATTCAGTATTTGTCTTCTTTAGCATTATGTAAGGGCACTCCGGTTTTTTGTTCCCCATTTTCAATTTCCATCTATTTCTGCCACTGTTTGCGTCCTCTTCTCTGCTACTATTTATTTGTTAATTTCACTGCTCCTCCAGTATGGCATGTCCTTTGTTCTTCCGTCTCTTATTTTTCCTACTTTATCCTACCTTCTCTTCTCCTCTCCTCTGTAACTGTATCATTTGCAGGTGTTGGGAGTTCAGCGCTGGTTACATTAAGTGGATCTACCAGGTTCCCATCCTCACAGCCATTGGGGTAAGAGCTTTGTTGTTATCCATGCTTTGTATGTATGCAACTGAAGTTTCCTTTTTCAGTTGCACTATGTCTAAAGTAAGAATGACCTTACTTACCTTTTAATACGGGAGAGTGATCCTACATTTGGGGCCGTTTTGTTTATGCATGTCTAAGTTAAGGAATACTGCAAAGATTGAGGTATGTACATGGTAATACTAAACCTACCCTTGCATAACCAATACTTAAAACATAAACAAAGGGTAACCGTCAAAAAAGTAATAAAACTTGTATTGGCTTATGATTATGACCACAGTAAGTATACATTCAAATACTAGTTTAAAAAGCTTGTGAAAACATCACAATTTGAACAAATCTCCCTTTCTCATTCAAAAGAAAAGGTTGAGGTATATACATGATTGTACTAATCCTAACCCTTGCCCAATCCCATTCAAATTCTTCATAAACAAATGGTAACAGTCAAAACTTAGAAGAATCAGTGCTATCTATTGCCAGAATTAGCCTATGTTTAATGACCCCAGTAAGTACAAATACAAGTGTTTAAAGCTTGTGACAACATCACACTTCGAAATAAAAGTCCTTTCCTTACTCAAAAACACTACACTGTATTCTAAGCAAACATGGAGGTATGTACATGGTTATACTAACCCTAACCCTACACTAAAAAGAACATTGCCACAAAAAACCCATATAACAGCCTTTTATGACTTGTATAAGCTTATGTTTAATGATCAAAGTAAGCTCACTCAATTAAATAACTAGTATGAATGATTAGGGCCATCAGTAGAAGGCCTGGCACAGCATTCTGTTAATTGAGAAGTAGTTGTTAATAATTATCACTGCAGCCACACGTTTTAAGAATTGTTTGGAACTTTCTCCATGCTACAAAATGTTATTGGAGCGTGACATATCCTAGTTAAAAGCTGCCTGCTGTGGTGATAACAATACTCAAAAGAAAGATTATATTTAATTGTGTATAATTACCCTAAGTACCTGAGACCCGTTAATTCCCTATAAATTGCTAACCGTCAGCTTTCATGTATTGCAACGATTTGTAGTGTTGCTTAATGTGTTTTGACCTGATTGTTTGCACTCAGCATTACTGAAATGTGATGGAAGAGTGGTGAAGCATCTTTCAAATTCAAATGCCATTTGTCTTCGACACACTATTTCCTGACATTAAAGTGTTTTTTTTATACACTGGCACATACTGTATGTTCAGTCAGGAAGATTATTCTTATTCATGCTCGAGCATATTCCGCCATTTATTTCGCTTTCTCACTCATAATTTATTCTTCGTCATATCCTATCAATCATCATCTTGCGGATTTCTCTTTTTAAATACGATTCTAAACTTTAGACTAACTTACTTTCTATCTGCATGCAGAAAGTGAGAATTAGACAATGGTGTATTTGCAATTTATATCTTCATCTTTAATAATACATTGACTTAGGAAGGTTTTTGTCTTATATGTGATATACAGCCTGAACTATACATATATATTACAAATATTGACTTTTTTCTATGACTTTTGGCAGTATTTTTGGAGTTACGAGGTGATATGAAAAGATATCTTAAATTCCTTCTGTAAAAACCGTTGCCTCTAATAGGTCAACAAAAGTAACAAGCATTTTTAACCAGGCTTTATCTAATAATCAGCTTTTTATTCTGTAAACATATTCTTATTAGCACATATTTAACAAGACATTGCCTAATTTGCCCATTTCAACATCACATTTCAGAAAACTTACAATACACTCTTGCCTTAAAGCGGGGGTTTGTAATCTTGAGAAGCTAGTGATTACAGTCCTGTATCAGAGCATTTATTCTATTAGCATTGAAATTAAAGAAAATCAAACTTAAATAAACTGTGTTGATGCAGAGTGAATTAAACTAAACCATTGAAAATGAGTTAAAAAAAGCCATGTTCTGGCGATTGAGTTAAGATGCTTGAGAAGATCTCCTGCAGATTCTAATGAGATGGCATTTCTTTAACTGGCATATATTCTCCGGAGAAATTGTCAACCTGCAGAAATAACACACAGATTACATTCACAATTCTCATACACCTACAGTAGGCAGTCAATTTAATTTCAGGAATATTTCTGTGTCTGTGTAAAGTAGAACGAGGTTGGAAATGGGATTCTAATATCTGACGGTTGTTATCCTGAAATAATTGAACAACTCAGGAATTGAGCTCACCTAAGAGAATACTTTGTTTTTTTAACCACAGTCAGCTACTCAGCTGGTCCACTTTGTTCCAGATTGAAATATCCCATCAAAATGTTAGATTGACAATCAACGCTCCAGACAAGGTTCAAGCATACATGTCTCCCTCAGGTTTAATGGGAATCTGATGTGATCTTCCCATATAGGGACACATCTGGGGTATAAAGGCGGAAGAATAAAACCACTGTTAGATATGTGGCACCTTATTTGTAAACCTGGGTAAAAGATTATAAGATATAGATAGAAGTTTGTTGGAGCTTGCACCGCAATATCTGTCAAGCAGATCCTTTAGCAATAATTATATATTAAAAGCAAAGTCATCAAAAGTCTTGAATAAAAAAGTAATCTACTAAACCATAAACTTTTTACCGCAAGACACGTTTTTTCTCAATTGTGTTATCAGCTTATCCACAGCAAAAAATAAAAAAGCAAATCTTTGTAAATATTGAACACTATTCAACATAAAACCTACCAAGGATGGCAGTTGGCCCAAAGTTCACTTTCACAGTTCAGACTTCCATTACTTTATGTATTTCTTTAGATAAGAGAAGACAAGAAGCATGGGTTTGAGGTTTGAAGATTTAAATAATTTACTGCCAAGCGATTAGTACATGTTTACTTAGCTAATCAACACAGAACCTTTACATCCATGCAAGTTGGACAATGGTGGAGATTGATGCTATTTTTCACACAAAGTCTGGTATAAACGTTGCTTGTGCATCACTGCTTGGTAGCACCAACAGTATGTTCTTGGTTGCTATTCTGTGAATAGCCTGCAAGAAAATATTTGGAGACAAATTGAAAGGACAAAACATTAATTTACAAGCGATAGACAGCGTGATGTTTATATCTCTTTTTCTGGTTCACATCACCCAAGAGAGACAGGCAATTCAAAATAGATGAATACGTTAGTATATGAAATGCCGGGAATCTGTCACATAGTCATATTTATAGAAATTGAACATGCATCAGATAAGTTCTGTCTGTCGTGTGCATGGTTTTATTTTATTTACAAAGATGTAATCATATTGCAGTAAGAGTCATCAACTACTGCAATGACACATATTTGGAAAGCAATTGCAAGTCTGTATGTGAGTTCACAGTGTTAATAATACTGTTTAATTCTAACACATACTGTATTCAAATATTTTCTGGGTTTTCAGGTTCAAAAAGCACTTTCTTATTCAAATGTATAAGGCAATCATTTAAAACCACCAAAGTACATTTAATGAAGGATATATAAGAAAGTGTTTAAGAACTGACTATAACACTATATGCATTTGCAGAGGAGCAAAATGCATATAGATTGTAGACAAATTCATAAAATAAATCTATTTTTGGTTTGGATTCTGTTGTTCCTGGCATCATGTGTAATCGGAAGCTATAATTGATACTATACTCACATCCAACAAAGGATTGAAAGGATGATAGATATATTCTGGGGCCAATGGAAGCCTCAATTTGCAATTTTGAAAATCACTTTGATTCAGCCTCAATAAAGTTTGTCAAAATAAAATAAAAATGTTTGTTTTTGGTACTTGGAAAATGTAAGTGACTCCACAAAAAACCACAATAGGTCACTTCGGGGCATGGGTCCACCTCATAAGATTGTTAGCTACCATTGTTCACAAAATCAAAGTGTAGCCATCTAAGACTGGAATTGACTTGAAAATAGGGGATTATTTCTTAGAAAGTTATTTACCGTAGTATAGTTATTTTTACTGCAATATAAAGCAGAAGTAAATATATAAATCATTGATATGTTAATCTAGTTTTCAATCTAGTAGCGTGATACTAACAAACATGTGATCATTGGACAATCTCCAAAATAGATGTGAACCTATGTTATTCACAAGTTGATAGCATTATGATAATGTAGTGTGATGTTTGTGTATCTATTATCATAACATTATAGTAATATAATGTTTTTGTGAATATGAAATGAATGATAAATATATTGTGTATGCTTGGATCCACGATTGAAAACGTAGATGTTCTTAAATTAATCTACCAGTTATTAACAATACAAAATGATTTGTTTTCAAGAATAACAGTTATAGTACTTAAGAAGACTTACATGTGCTGTATAAATGAAGAGCTTTCTATATCTGTTCTTCTGTTTCAGCTCAATTTCATCTTGTTTGTGAACATCGTACGGGTTTTGGCCACTAAAATTCGAGAGACAAACGCAGGGAGATACGACACCAGGAAACAGTACAGGTTTGCACTCAACTGAATGTATCTAAAGGAACCAGCATGCAGATTAAGTTGAGATTAATTACCCACAATTACCAAAGTTGTAGCTTTTGATTTGTGCTAAATTAACATGTAATACATTTAATTTTCACAAATGTAGGCTTTGCATGATGATGTCCATATAGATTTGTGCAAGGGGATGCTGTTGGGGAGCAGGGTGACAAAGTAACACATATCAGTTGCTTAGCGATGTCTTAATGTTTATGTTGTAGCCCTTGATTGTTGCCCTTGATTGTTGCCTGTTTGTAGAATACGTTTTATAAATGTGTTCTGTTCATATTTACAAAAGTGATGTAAGTGAATTTGCACTCTTGCACAAACTTTGTTGTTACCTTATTTGCAGACCACCTTGTTTTAACATTATTATACATTTTTCTCCACATGCAAATTTCGCATACAGTACACATGCAGAGCTCATGCAAAATGAGTAAATCAACACACAAATGGACTAACCCTAACCTTATCCACTACTTTGCTTAACCCGACACTAAACCCTAATGATTTATGTTGTGGTAACTCCTCACAACATAGGTTAAACATGCACACATATACACACACAAAATATGTTCTAGCATTTCAAATCTGCAATTATCACCATTATTCTCCATGCTGATGCTGGCATCGATGTGTCAGATAAAAGATTATAATTACAGAGTTTTTTTCTATGAGAAGCACTGTACTGGATGCCACATGCAGGGTCGCTCTGTGTAAATGAGCAGACTACATGTCAGAATAAATTATAATGATCGGGTGCAGTAAACTGGAAACCTTGCTGGAAGATGAATGTATGTATGAATACAACACATTTCATGTATACAGAATAATCAAACAGTCAATGTAAGGGTACCTAAATGTACGTAGAAAGACACTTGGTGACAGATTATAGGTGTTGACAAAGCTTTTTTTGAAACAATGCAAAAGAGCATTTACTAAAGTGGGAAATATCGTGGAGTAAATAATCATCAGTAATGTTGAGTTTATGACTAAGATGGTAAATGTAATTCAATCAGGAGAGGCTTAGTTTGTTAGTTTGATAACATATTTATTGCCTGTCTCTCTCCTCCCATTCCTGTCAAAAACACGCGCTGTCTTTAAACAACTCTCCTGTTATCTCCATCAGAACAACCTTCTGGATCCGCACCAGTCTGGTTTCAAGGCAGGTCACTCCACATAAACTGCTCTCCTTGCTGTCTCTGAGGAACTGCACACTGCTAAAGCAGCCTCCCTCTCCTCTGTCATCATGCTTTTGGACCTGTCTGCTGCATTCGACACGGTGAACCATCAGATCCTCCTTCGCACTCTCCAACAACTTGGAGTTTCATGCTCTGCACTTTCCCTCCTCACCTCATACCTCAAAGACCGCACCTACAGGGTAACTTGGAGAGGGTCCGATTCCGACCCTTGTCAATTAACTACAGGGGTCCCTCAGGGCTCTGTTCTTGGTCCCCTTCTCTTCTCTCTGTACACAAACTCGCTCAGATCAGTCAATAGCCCGCATGGTTTTTCATACCACTGCTACGCTGACGACACCCAATTAATTCTGTCCTTTCCCCGCTCAGAGACCCAGGTCGTCGCACGCATCTCTGCTTGTCTAGCAGACATCTGTCAGTGGATGTCTGCTCACCACCTCAAGCTCAACCTTGACAAGACTGAATTGCTTTTCCTTCGGGGAAAAGATTGTCCCACCCTTGACCTAACAATCAACATCGGCACCTCTGTTGTTTCCCCGACTCAGACTGCAAGGAATCTGGGTGTGACCCTAGATAACAAACTGTCCTTCACTGCAAACATCGCTGCTACAACCCCCTGCTGCAGATACACCCTTTACAACATCAGAAGGATACGTCCCCTCCTGACCCAGAAAGTGACGCAACTTTTGATCCAGGCTCTCGTTATCTCACGCCTAGACTACTGCAACTCCCTCCTGGCTGGTCTACCTGCATGTGCCATCCGACCTCTGCAGCTCATCCAGAATGCAGCGGCTCGTCTGTTCTTCAACCTTCCAAAATGTTCCCACACCACGCCGCTCCTCCGCTCCCTTCACTGGCTTCCAGAAACTGCTAGAATCCACTTCAAGACACTGGTACTGGCGTACCATGGATCTGGCCCTTCCTACATCCAGGACATGGTTAAACCATACACCCCAGCACGTGCACTCCGCTCTGCATCAGCCAAACGGCTCGCTGCACCCGCACTGCGAGGGGGACCCAAGTTCCCATCAGCAAAAACACGTTGGTGTCAGGGTTGAGTGAAGCAGGCAGGACCCAAATGCAGATTTCAAAGACAATTCCTTTATTCCAAGGTTAAATGTCGAAAACAGAACACTACCCTGTGACACAGTCAAAGACAAACAAGGATCTAACAATGACAGACAGAAAAACCAGAACTAAAATACACACAAGACTAATCACACAAACAAGACACAGGTGAGGAGGGAGGAGAAAACACAGGGGCACCAGGTGAACACAATCGGGTAATCAGGTAGGAGGGAAAACAGGCAGAAAGCAACAGGCCAGACAGGGTGTGAACACTTTTCAAAATAAAACAGGAAACCAAAGACAGAAAAAGACAAGACAAAACACAACACAGACAGATCGTGACAGTTGGTTTGCTATCCTGGCTCCAAAATGGTGGAATGAGCTCCCCATTGACATCAGGACAGCAGAAAGTATACACATATTCCGGCGCAGACTGAAAACTCATCTCTTTCAACTCCACTTCGAGCGATAGAATTACTAACAAAGCACTTATATACTAATAAAGGACTGGCTTATCTAAAGCCAGTTGAGTAGCACTTGAAATGTTTTGGCTCTATGAAACCTGATGTACTTATATGATTCTGTTTTCTTCAAGTTTGTATCTTCCTGGTCTAATGCACTTATTGTAAGTCGCTTTGGATAAAAGCGTCAGCTAAATGCAATGTAATGTAATATATGTGTCAGGAATGGGGAATATCAGGACTCAAATGCAGTTTAAGAAACAAACAAAAGCAAGCTTTAATTAGTGCGAATGCTATTTATAGCATTTCTCCGCTAAGTTCAGCAACACACTTACTTGGTTTTTGTAGCTAAAAGCAGCTACCATTCAGCTAATAAAATATTCAGCTTTTTCTGCATTTTCAGCTAAATTCAGCCACAAAAGTTCACAGTTTACAGCATTCGCACGCATTTTCTGCAGGAAATGCATTTTCTAGTCTCGTCACAATTGCTCTCCAAAAAAGATGATAACCTTTTTGAGGGGATTTTATTTTTGCCTTGAGTTGTTGACATTTCCATGGACTTTACACATGACTTCCTACATTCCCAGCACTCTATTCCCAGTTGATAAATCATTATTTCAACTGAAAAAAAACACTGCTTTTTAATCAGAACTTTCCACTCCTGTCAGGTTGATTGCATGCCCCGAGCTGCTGTTAAATACAAGCCAGATGGTCTCCATAAATTAAAAGAAGAAAATTAAGAACTGTATTTTTTTCTCAGGAGGACCAAGCTTTAGCTTCCCTTATTGATGGAAGCTTGGCATTGACACAAAGATCATTTAAATAAGTTAAAAAGTTTAAGATTTGACAAATCTTTGGTTTATAAAGATATTCCTTGAAAGGATCACTGTGCACATGCGACACCTGTTGCTTCTTGTATAGGGTTGGGTTATCGTTATCGGTTATTCTTTTAACAGTACTACTACTCTTAATGATACTGCTTATCGATCCGGTACTTTAACTGTATTTTTATCGGTTCTTTTTGTTATTTATAGGGAAAAACGTAAGAAATTGGCATCAGAATTAAAATGGCTTTATGTACAAATATTAACAGACTAATGTGATGATGGAAATTAAAAACAAATGTTATCTTTAATCATTAACCCACGCTTCTGTAATTTATTGAACTCCGTTTATGGTTTAAAGGCTGCTAGCATACATAATATACGTAAAGTGGTACCGGTACTCGATATGGGCAGGGCCGGCTCTAGACATTTTGGTGCCCTAAGCGAGATTATGATAACATATCTTATTTTATCTAGTTAACATTTATTTATTCATGCATATTTTTTAATATCTCCAGTTTTAAACGATATTTTTGGTTTACTGTCCTATAGTATACATTGGAATGATTTCAAACCTGTTTTTATTTATCCTAATAATTATAAAGGTGTGCCTTGGAAATATTTGTTTACATAAATTGTGACCAAACCGTTTGAGACCCACTGAGATAAGACTAAAGTGAACTATCTAAACACTCAGAGTCCTTTACCTCACTGAGCTGTAGATATCAGCCTCAATCCAACAACAATCCGCGGTACCGATGCACGCGCGCCCTCTCTCTCTCTCTCTTGCTCCCTCGGAGGCTCGCTCGCACTTTGGCTGTGAGCTGCGGTCGCCTGATAAGTCAACATCCCCCACTTTCATCCCTTACAGCGCACATCGTACAGGGCAAATGCAAAATGTTGCCGGCCCGTGGTGCAAAGGGTGTTTACTTTATTCAATTATTAATGTAAATGTATTACATCAAGAGCAGAGAATTAGGCAGAATAACAATTTTAAATTAATTATTATTTTTTTCTCCCAGCGCAGCGCCCCTCCAGATCTGGCGCCCTAGGCGAGCGGCTAGTTCGCCAGTGTCTAGGGTCGGCCCTGGATATGGGGCAACAGAACTACCAGTTTTGGAAGTCAAAAAACTGCATTTCTCTACCTGAATATGGTCCAATCTCGCCAGATGTTTGGACAGATTGTTTGTGTTTCCACCCTTAAACAAAAACACTCCTAAATGCACTTGTGGAGTAACACAAAGTTGTTCTAATAATGTAGAATTTCCAAAATATTGACAACACCTCAACAAAAAATATGTTGTACCTATGACTCATCTGGGTAAAAGTCCTTAGAGAAGAAAATGATTTTAACAACACAAATTTGAACATCTGTCACTTTTTAAATTAGATGTGTGAATAAGCTTGCTGGATCAGCAAAATACCGAAAAGCTGTGATAGGCTTTGGGAAATAAACTTGCAGTGTGTCCCTTTTAAATTATTTCTGAGAATTTTTTTTTTATTAATTTAACCCTTTTAGAAGGAAAGATATGATCATTTGTTCTGGGAATGTCATTTTTGAGCCTGATACCTGAAAAACAGGCTCAGGGCTTATCAGGTTAAAGCAGACTTTAGGCACCTGAGTAAAATTCAGGGAAGGTGATTGTCAAGTGCCAAAATAAACTATGCAATATAGTAGACGTTAAGTACTTTGTCAGGCTTAATATTTATCTCTAGATACCCCCAACGTTTTTTTCTTATTCAAAAGAAGACCTTAACTTAAAGTATTATTTAATGTTTAAATAAAGCCTTATTAGTTTGTCTGTTTTGCACATCCTCCTATTAATATCTTTGGACGTCCTCCACTAGCTATTTTATTGTAGAGATCACTACAGTATCTTCTTGATATTTTCTATTCTATATTTCTATCATTGACCTTCTACTTTCCCCCTATTTTGTATGTTGGCTACTCTTAATATTTAAATGTTTTCATCAAATATAACATATTCAATACAAATATTCAATAACGTGCTTTAACCACTAGGCGGTGCGGGTTAAAAAACTGTCAAGTTTACAGTGTTAACACAATAAATTATACACGTAAGATGTTACAAATAACACACAGCATACAATGCCATAATAACTTTGTATTATTAGTGTAGGACACTTATGTATGTATAACATCTGAAGATGTGTAGTTTTATTCATGTTTTCACATAATTTTACAGGATATTGCTATATTATTTCACATATTGTAGTTCTACACATTAATATCTGAGGTATATCCGTCATTTAATGGTAAGCTATTGAGATTCTGATTCCATAGATGTGTCTCCCATCACCCAAAACCCCTGACTATTCTCTCAACTCAGTATTTACATTCTTTAATTCAAAGAATTATCAGCTCTGCACCGTTATGGTGTAAATATAGCCTATCTACCAATCGGATCAAATATAAAAGTCAGCCGAATTACTATTGATACTGCAAGGAGACGTATTGTGTGAAGAAAAATGGAAGATGTTGTTTAATTGCTGATATATTTATGATCCACGCCACATATTCAGTGTCGGCGGCATTTATTCCAGTTTGTCCAAAGGTCTTCTAATCAGGGCAGATGTGTAATATGTAATGCAGCCGAACCGTGTATTACAATGCCGTTATGTGATGACTTTCAAAGAGAAAAGCAAGCACACTCGGAATAAAGTATTATTATTATTTTATTTTTTTTAAGTTTTCGGATTTTATATCGCATAAACACCATATCCCAACGTGCATTGCGGCTAAAACATCCAATCACCGAGCTTCAACGATAGCTGAGGATTATCAAAACCTCTGAAAAAATAAATTGGTCTCTCAGAATCGAAAGGGGAAAACCTATGGGAAAAACACAAAAGCAGTGTACACAATTTAAACCAATTAATGTTGTGTAATTAACAAGGATAAACTGATGTTTTTTAGTGGATGAGTACGGCAGATATCACTGTTAAATCATTTGACAGTGAGGGGAATACGGTTTTATTATGGAAACTTCGAGACCGGAAATACTGTTTTCACCCGGTGAAGGTTGACGCTAACTTTACAAGTACAATATACACTTCTCGCTAGAAATCTAATAAAAAAGCATTTTAATGGCCAAACTATTCTACAATTTAGGATTTTCCAGAGGGTTATTTGTGAATATACGACCCTCCGGAGCATTTGCAATTGCCGCAAATTGTTGTTTCTTACACGACCACTAGAGGTGCTAAACTTTAAAACGTGACTATAGGTCGTAATAAGCTGCTGAACAATCGACCTATTTGGTCGTATGAGTTGGAGGACTTTTGTGCAGTTTGTGCAGATAGCATGAAGTATAAAATATCGCTAAAAGTGTCTCTCTATCTATCTATCTATCTATTTATCTATCTATAAGGAACCGAAGTAAACAACAGGCGTTGCTATAGCAACACGTCATGTTTATGTTTACGTGCAAGATCAATAGCGCGAAAATCACTGCATTTTCTATAAGGTAAACATTACCCGCTGGCGCTGATGGGTATAAATAGCAACAATTTTTAACAACAGAGGGTGCTACATAACACACGTTCAGGAAAAGTCACAGACTGGGAGATTTGAATATTCTATTGAAAAAAAGTTACATACAATCAAGAAACAGCTGCGGGTAAAATGTACCCGTTGGCGGTTCTAGTGTTAAACGTAAAATAAAAAAATGTGTTTGAATTGTTGTTTTGAACATTTTGAAGTTTGTTACAAATGAGGCATCCTCTAATACTAACGATTGGTGAATTTAGGGGAATTAGGCAGTGGCAAACACATACAAAGAAACAGCTAAATGTGTATTTTGGACATTTTCTCCTGTGTCTTCTCTGAACGAATACGTTTTGGAAGCAGCATAATAAAAAAAAAGCATTGGTCTTAGTCTCTATCTCACCAATAAAACCACACAAGTCCAAAGCAAGTCAGCACTGCCCTGTATACGTGTTTACTACCTGTGTGTTTACGTCTCTACAGGAAACTGGCAAAGTCCACCCTTGTACTAGTGCTGGTGTTTGGCATCCACTACATCATCTTTGTGGGGCCTTATACAATCGAGGGCCTGAGCTGGGAAGTCCGCATGTACTGTGAGCTGTTCTTCAACTCCTTTCAGGTACTCTCTTCTTTTTAATTAATAACACTTGCTTATTGGTTGCTGAATTTATGTGAAAAGTCTGCCTTTAACCTTCAGGAAGTGCTTACGCAAGCAGGCCAAGTCAAGGTTGGTCCTCGCATTCAAAGATCAGGTAGTACACTGAATTCATGTCCTTTTACTGAAGTGCGTCATTTAAAGCACATTTCATCATCAGTATAGTAACCACTCCAATTGCTGTAAATATACAGTTTATCAACATTTAAATCATGCAATTAATATGCAACTATGGGGACCATTGTGTGGGTCATTGGTTCGAACCCAGCCCCTGGTATTGAATTGTATTTAAGTCGCTTTGGATAAAAGTTTCAGTTAAATGACATGTATTTAACTAGTGTTCGTTATCATACAGCTAGGTTGAATACTCGATTCTGATGTTCAATACGGACATTCAGTGGTCTTCTCTTTTCCGATAGCAGACCACCACTAGGGATGCTCTGATCAAAGGACCATGTGCAGTCATAGCAATCCGCAGAAAGAAGTCCGGTCCATTTTTTTATATTCATTTTAAAGGGCCCATGTCATGGCCATTTCTACTGATCATAATTCCATTGTTGAGGTATACTAAAATAGATTTATACTGTGCAATTTTCCAAACTCACATTGGTTTCTCATACAGCATCTCTGTAAAGTATGTGTATTAACCGGTACTCACTCTCTGTCCTAAACGGCTTGTTGGAGCTCCTGCCCCCCCCTCCCTGTGAGCCCAGTGTGCTCTGATTGGTCAGGACGTTGCGAGGCTCGTTGCGAGGCTCGTTGCGAGGCTCGTTGCGAGGCTCGTTGCTGCGATCTGCTGCGAGGAGCGGACAGGCTTCCGGGTCGGCGATACAGCGAGAACAAGCGAAACTCATCCTGATCACACACAAACACTCACAGCCGAAGTAAAAACAATAAGTGTGGCTTGATATTGAGTAAGAAAAAGGTTTATAACGCTGTGAGAATGGGTCTGCGGAGAGCATTTCTCCGCGATCCCAACTTAGCAGCCCGAAAAACGTTTACCCATTTAAACAGTCATGGTAGATACCTTGTTTGTTTTAAACATCATAAATACACAAACAACAATGAATACTTACAGGTTGTGTACCCGAATCTCCCGCTGGTCCAAACAAAGTAGGAACAGCATCGTTCTTCAGTGCCCTAAGCTGTACATATCCGGCATGAATCGCTGAAAGGTTTGTGAAGCTTTGTTTCGTGAAATGCTGGCAGAGGGTGTGGCCTCTGGGTATTCACACGTCACAGTACCCAGGAAGTAAACAATGGAAAATGAGAAATCTCCAACGAGGCGTTTTGGGGCAGCATAGACTGTGTTAGAGTTTTACTCGCTACAGGGTGTACTTTGAGGGTGTTTGACTCTGCAGACCGTTTACATGCATAAAAACCTTCATAACACACAAGGGGACGGGTAATAACCGGAAAAGCATGACATGGGCCCTTTAACACTTTTGGACAGCACAAAATGTAGGATTCATTATGGCTAAAGTAAAAAAAAGAAAAAAGAACCAAAACAAGAAAAAGGCTTAAGAGAAGGATATAGGTAAAAGACTCAGAGAGCTGGATGTCAGAAAATCAGCAGAAGAAGACAGACAGGAAGTAAACACTAAAGGCAATGTGGTTTGGGCTCAGTGTTTAAAGACTCGTTAATGGAAAAGAAAATGTGACTTGGACAGTTACGGGGCAGAGCACTACGATCGGTGTTGCTGTCATTTTAAACTACGATGATATGGCTGATTCAAAACTCATTATTCTCTTCTTAAAGTAACCAGACTCCAGTTAGAAAACTGTTATTTTATCTCGCTGATAATGTTAAAAAACCCTCTTAATACATCAAAATCTGCTTTGTTCGTTTTTTCATTGTTATACAAACACCAACTCTTTTTGAGGTATCAGTCACAGATGCACCAGCACTGGAAGCAGGATCAGACATGATATACCAAGTCATACTCATTTACTGTAAATAGAGTTTTCCTCTTATAATATATAGTTGGTTTCCCTCATTAAAAACCCTTCATATGCACATCATTTATGTTAAAAAGGTGTCTGAACAATTAATTGAGAGTCAATTTAGTATCAGACCATACTCTATGTCTCCCACTGCTCATTAACATTTTAATCTTCTGCATGTGGCTGTCTGAGTCAAGACTGCACTTCATTATTCGGTGAAGCAGCTTCATAATGACTTTGGTTAAGTGTCATAATTCAGTTCTGCCTAAGTTTAAGTGAGCAATTTCAAAACACCTTCAGGCATGACCTTTTCTAAATATTAACTTAATTACACTTCATATCTAATCCTTCATTATTTTCTACCTTGACATATGAAACATGTTTGACAGTGTTGAGTCTATATTCCTTCCCTAAAGGAATGAGATATTGTAATGACCATAATCTCAGTTTGACCTTAAATTGCCTCAATGTATGAAATTAATCAGGAAAAGAGCGATTCCGTGGGGGAAATTAAATAGAAATGACACTACTGGAGCCAAAAATATTCTCACATGCTCTTTTAACTGTTGCTCATTTAATTCAAACTTGTTCATGGAGAACATCCATCCATCTTACGTTTGTTTTCTTAGACCACAGGAAATTGTGGTTTAAAGTCAACAGTATTCTTCATTTTCTGCATTTTAAATTCTACAGATTATACTGTAGTTTGTTCACACTTTTAACAAGCTTGTTGGCGCTTCTTATGTTTTCAGGCCAAATGATTGGTTTTTGCACATTGTTCATTCAGCAATTAGCTACAATTGTGTCATTAATTATGACCACAAGTGTGTTTATCATAAATTAACAGTAAATTAAATTAACAATTTCTGAAAATGTATTTCCAAAAGCAATATATAATTGCAAATCTTCTGCTTTTTATGGTGTTCAAATCCTGAATGTTGGTTGTCCATGGCCAAGGGAATTATCAGTTGATTTTAATATAAGTTTAGTTTGGATTGTAAAAATACTTAAGATACAAAGCATAAAGGAATCTAGGAACAAAATAGAGGCTTGATCCATCTGGATATTTTGATTTATATACCGTCTGTTTTAACCTTCCTGAACTTTTGTGATCAAAAGTTAAATAGCACATAAAATGCTAATTTTCAGGTCCATATTTGTATTTTATGCATCTATCCTGACATGTTTACATGCTTTAATGTTCAAAAAGTGCTTTATTTGTCTCATACATTCTCTTACATAGTGATGTCTTCATATTACAGAAGTAAACAAAATAGTTTTGTCAAAGTTTTTCAGGCAGGGGGGGAGAGTGTGGGAGAGAAACTCCCTCAGGAGGGAACTTTAGGATTTTAGCCTTGCAAACATGCAAACAATTTACTTCCACAAAAACCTATATATTGAGAAAAACACAAAAAGCATAATAGGGTCTCTTAAAATGTTCCATCACCAACCAAATAAGACAAATAATAACAAGCTTTCATACACATACCATTCTTGAATAATATGGAAACGGAACAAAAAGATCAGAAAAGCTGTATTTTTTTCCAAATGTGATTATATAAATAGGAACCTCAACTAGACGTGTCTCCATCAAATTGCTATGCCTCTCCTAAAAATCACATTAACATACAAATGACTTGCATTATTTTGTTGGTCGGGAACTGCATGGCTTATTACTTTTTTCTCAACATAATAAATAAATATTCAGAAAGTGTCAAAATCTTTTGAAAACTGTTCACTGTCAACCATCTTCATTTTTCCCGTGACAGCGCATACATTGAAAACTTAAATGGAAAAAAACGTTCCTTTTATTATCAGTGCCCATGATAAAAGTTCAGGCATAAGATTGAACAGATATTTATAAATCAGATTGCAGTGTATTAAAAATATTTTCTTAAAATGCTGGCAGTGTCCATCAAGGCAAGCTATTTGATAAGGGGTCTGTCTAATGGAGCAAGAGTAGTGGGTTATACAAGGAGTGCTTGAAGTGAAATGTACGAGTCATTTGTACACCTGCTATGTTTGAGGAAAGGAGTTAGGATAATGGATAATGGGCCAAAATCCTGAAGAGAACTTAAAAGCAACGAGTGGTATCTTCACAAACAGGAAGCATGACTCATATTGACTATCTTTAATGACTAAATGAGATGAGTGTTAATACGTTTTTTAAAAGGGTCTAGGACTCCAATGTGGAACAGAATACAAGTTAGTCTGTAAAGTCATGTATGTGTTATTTTATTTTAACCTTAGATTTTAGCGAGAATTATGTGTGCTCCATCGACACTATAATTCGACAGCTGTATTTAAATCAACAAAAATGTAAACCTTCATTTGTATTTAGGTATGTTCTAGTTTAAATATGATATGTCAGGGCAACAGAGGAAAATTGAACAGAAAAGGATTTGTGGTGATGGAGAGTTCTGTGTGGGTGCATATCTGCTAATTAAAGCCAAAAAACGATTCTGTTAGCCTTTGTGATGGTGGCCAGAGACAACAGAAGCTAAATGTAATGCGAAAATTGCACTCTGCCACCTGGTGTGACAGAAATATGCTCAGATGCATCATCTATCCATCTCAGCATGAACAACCAGACTTAATTGCATAGACATGGGATGTGCCCGGTGACAATGGCCTTGCACCTGTGTGAAAATAACATATAATACATTGATTATCAACTGCATCAAACAAACATTTGCATTGTATGGATTTAAAGTTTATTTTACACATACATTTGTTATTTCTAATCTTAATCAAATTGTTGATTGGTTACATATTATATGTCTTGGAACCATATTTAACCTGCTTTTTGACGCACTTAATAGTTAGAATAACTCAAGGTTCAAGGTTCTTTATTGTCAATCTGACATAGCTACAGAGTAATTATGCAGTTGAAAATCTTATGTCACAGGCTTCTCCAACAATGCAACATAATAACATAACATAATAACAATAAGAGCATGAGCAATACAAAAATAATAATAGTTATAAAAATGAAATAAAGTTATGATGTGGAATAGTGC